TAAGTGGACCTGACACAAGGAACCCAGCCTCTCCCAGCCAAGCCCCATACCCCTGCACACCCACACCTGCTGAGCTGTGTCCCTAAATCATCTCCATTTCAGTGCAATTTTTTTTTTCTTTTTGGTACCAGGGATCGAACTCAGGATCTTGCACTTGTGAGGCAGGCGGTGGCACCACTGAGCTAAATCCCCTGCCCCTCAGTGCAAGTGTTTAATACGGCAAAGACACTTCCTGGCTGACCCAAGAGGTCAAACCACCCCTGGGTATCGACAAGAGAGAAAAACAGCAAGAGCCCACTCAATCACCTACTTAGCTGTTCCTTTTCTTTTCTTAACAAAAGAGCACTGTTTAGATGCCAGCCTAGATTAGACAACTGCACTTGCTCAACAACTCTTAGACACAAACCTGGAGCACTGCCTTCCCACCTTCCCAAATGCCTTGCTGTCAACCATCTGTGTGTGCATCTCTAGAATGCTACATGCATTTCAGGACTTCTCATCTGCTGTACTCAGGTGTTAAATGCCATATTAGACACGAAGTACCTCTCCAGTATCCTAAATACTCTAAACCAGCCTTGAATTCCGACACAAGTCTTTAAGACGGCAACCCTCGTTCAGATCAGCCTTTTAAAGACAAATAGCACCTGCCTCAGCATCTGGTCGGCATATGGTTGGGCCTGCTTGCTATATCCTCCTTGGCAGAGGGCATCACATGGCAAGACAGAGCAGGTGTGCCAGACACAGCTCACTTTGTAACAAAGCCACCCGTGGCCTAACCCATTAATCCCACTCCTTGTGGGTGGAAGAGTGGGTGGCAGGTGGCCCCCAGGACCCAATCACCTCCCAAAGGCCCCACCCACAAACATTACTAAAATTTGACTTTTAGGTTTCTAACACATGAATTAACTTGTATTCGCATAAAAGTAGTCCATCCACCTGTGCAACCCACAGTCCTAACAAGACAGAACATTTCCATCGCCCTAGGAAGTTCCCTCCTCAATTCCTCCAAGTCAGTCTTCCCAGTCTGTCTCCCTGCTGCAGTTGGGATCTGTCATGAAAGATGGGCTTTTCCTCCCCTACAATGTCATATAAATGGAAGCACACAGTACTGTGGCTTCTGTCACTCGGCTACTTTTTGAGATTTGTTCATGTCATTGTGTGATTCAGTACTTTGTTCCTTTCTACTTCAGAGTGGTGTTCACTGTGTCACTACCCCAGCTTGTTTATCCATCTCCCGCTGATAGACAACTTGGGCAGCTTCCAGTTGGGGCTATTATGAGTAAAGCTGTTATGAACTTGTACCAGGCTTTAGGCTTATGTTTTCATTTCTCTTGGATAAATACTTACGAATGGAATTACTTGGTCATACGGTAGATCTAAGTTTGACTTTTTTTCCCCTTTTTTAAAAAAATGCTAAATGAGGGCCAGGGATTTGGCTCAGTGGTTCCAGCACTTGCCTCAAAAGCGCAAGGTCCCGAGTTCGATCCCCGGTACCAAATAAATAAATAATGCCAAATGGCCAAATAGATTTGTGCATATCACTCTTATGACAAAATTTTAAATGAAGTAAATACAAGAATATATCCCATAGAAAATGGGGCATAGTCATCAAAAAAATGTGAACAAGAAGATTTACAGCAGCATTGCTCATAACACCCCACACTGGAAACAATTCAAATGACGATCAGTGGCAGCCTGGATAAATAAGTTGTACATTAAATGTCATACAGCAGGAAGTGTGGACAAATTACACCACACACAATACTGATGAACCTCTAAACAAAAGAGTAAAAGAAGCCAGAGAGAAAAGAACTCATATTGTAGGATTCACTTTGTATAAAGTTCAAAAACAGGCAACACTAATAATCCACAGTGTTAGAACTCAGGAGAATGGTTGGCCACCCTGAGGTTGGGGGCACAAAGGTGACTTCCAGGATGCTGGGAATGGTTCTGGATGGGATGCTGATTATGCAGGTGTGTTTGGTTTGTGAAAAATCCATACAGCTATACATTTACACCAAGCATGTTTTTCTGATGTTACGCTTCAACAGAGCATTAAAAGATAACACAATTCAAATCTCACATGCAAGTTGTGATGAACATAAACAACTACCACTGGATTGCATTACCAATTAGTATTTAGATGTGATTTCCTTTTTGTTTTGCTTTCCTATGTGAAGCTCTCCTGTCTAATGTCTCTAAGCCATTTTCATGGCAGCGTGAAGGCGTGCGGTGCAACCTCCAGAGGACTAGGGCACTACAAGGGTACTGAGTTCTGTTCACCCATGAAATTGGCTAAAGCATTAGCAACTGCTCACACCCAGTGCTGTAGGAATAGAAAGAGCCTTCCCCTAACCTACTGCCACAGTTACAATGTAACTGCCCCAACTAAGTTTTACACCAAGGGCCACTTGCTTGAGACATGCAATGGGGATGCAACGTGTTTGTGTAGGGCTCAGCTGGGAACTGTGAATGACCTCCCAATGTCCCCAGTCAGAGGACAGTGATGCATGCTGGTACCTGTGAATGGTGGGATATGATGTAGCCATAGAAAGAATGGGGTCAGGCTTGATGTATTGACTTGAAGGGATTCCATAATAGGTTATTAATAAAACTAAAAGTACAGTATGGTTCCATTTCTCCTTTTTTTTTTTTTTTTTGGTACCAGGGATCAAACTGAGAACCTTGCGCTTGTGAGGCAGGCATGGTGCCACTGAGCTTCATCATTTCTACTTTTTAAAAAACTATAAATAGGGCCAGGGATTTAGCTCAGTGGTTCCACGGCCTGCCTTGTAAGTGCAAGGTCCTGAGTTCAATCCCCCAGTACCAAAAAACAAAAACAAAAACAAAAAAACTATAAATAGGGCCAGGGATTTAGCTCAGTGGTGCCACCACTTGCCTCACAAGCGCAAGGTCCCAAGTTCGATCCCCGGTACCAAAACAACAACAAAAAACTATAAATAAACACACGGATATAAGTACAGATAGTCCCCAACTTAGGATGGTTTGACTTATGACTTTTTAATTTATGATCACGTGAAAGCAATGTGCATGTATTAGAAACTGTATTTCAAATCTTGAATTGGGATCTTTGCCCAGACTAGAGATATGTGGTAGGGTCTTTTTTTTTTTTTCTTTTTTTATTGCAGACTGAACCCATGGCCTTTGCACTGGGCTCCTTTTTCGTTTTTTCTTTTTTTTTTTATTTTGAGACAGGGTCTCGCTAAGTCACTAAGTTGCCCAGGTTGGACTCAAATTTGTGTGTCCTCCTACTTCAGAGTCTTAAGATTACAGGTGTGCAGTACCACACCTAACTCACCCTCGTAGTTTAAATTGCTGTATAGTTTGAAATAAAGCCAAACTAACCGTGATGCAAACACTTCCCTGGGCAGAGTTTTGCAGCCGCCCTGATGGAGATGTCTGGTCCCTACAACAGCTCCCCTCGACCAGAACAGCACAAGTAAGTGGCCATAGCAGTTTTGGGGAGAAAAGGAGGTCTGAAGCAGGGAGAGAAAAGGAGCTCTGAAAATCACCCCCAATATACACAAGACCTCAATCCTTCCCCAACTAGGGGACGAAGCGAGGCCTGGGGACCACTCCCGCTCCAGGGCCCTCTCCCTTCCTCCCTGGGGATCTGCTCACTTTGGGGCCCCAGGACGCTGAAAGGCTGGATGGTCCTGAGGCCCCTTTCAGAGTAAAGGGAGGCAGGCAGAACCCTCAGAGCTGTCTCTCAGCCCCTACCAAAGGCAAGGCCCTTCCCGCCCAGGCTGGGCCTGATCCGCATCTCCAGTTCCCTGTGACACCCTTGTCTTCCCCCTCTCTTGGCAGGAGCTACAAAATCCGTTTCAACAGTGTGTCCTGCACAGACCCGCTGGTGTCCTCTTGGCGGCGGAAGAGGAAGGAGTCCAGTAACACAGACAGCGCGGGGGCCCTGGGCACCCTCAGGTTGGGAGTCCTCACCAAAAGGGGTGCATGGGGGCAAGCTGCCCAAGCATACAAGGCCTGGCATGGGCAGCTCCAGCAGCAACTCCCTATACCCCAGGTTTTGTGTATTCGGGCTGGGCTCCCGGGCATACCCACACTTCTGCGCCTTTGCCCGGGCAGTGGACACAAGGCTGGAGGAGCTGGGTGGGGAGCGTCTACTGCAGCTGGGCCAGGGCGACGAGCTGTGTGGCCAGGAGGAGGCCTTCCGTGGCTGGGCCCAGGCCGCCTTCCAGGTGAGTCCCTGATGTCCCTAGCCCCTGACCCTGTCAAGCCCTGCAACCCACATGCCACCTCTCACCAAGCTGAGGCCTGGCCTCCACATCTTCACTGCCGGGACTGCAGTGATAAGACTGGAAGCTTACTGCCTCCCTGGTCCTGTGTGGTTCTCTGGACCCTTTCCGTTCCTTCCATAATCCACCTTCGTATCACCATGGCTCAGCCAGCCCTCTGGGCTCAGTCCCAAGTAGTGGACAATGTGCTCTATTAACAAGAAGTATGGTGCCCAGGCAAAAGTGTGGCCCACAGATAGCAGACAGGGCCTGGCAGGAGGGCACACTCAGCCAGGCATGGGCTGGGCCCCATGAGTGAGCCCACAAAGGGAGGGCAGGCAGGATGGCACGAAAGAGAAAGGGTGAAGGTGAAGGCTGAAAGTGAAGCCAGCACAAGACTTCAGGCTTTCAGAGGCCAGGCCAGGGAGCACTGCCTGGCCTGCAGGGATGCTCCTGGCCAGTGGAGGGTCCCAGGGACTGTGACTATAAGCCTGAGCTTCCACACGGGACAGCACTTCCGATCTGGCAATTCCACCTGGAACTGGTCAGGCGGGCCACATGCTACTCAATCCAGTGCAGGAGGACCATCCATCCCTCCTTCAGGTTTGAACTCAGCAGGTCTGGGTCCATGGCTGGGAGGATGGCTCCTAGGAGCAGGCAGGGGGTGAGTTTCCTGGGGAGGTAGCCAAACTAGAGAAGCAGCCCACACCAGCACAAAGGGAATGGAAAAGAAGACTTCTGAATATGCACAAAGGGAACCCCTGGAAGTTTCGGAGCAGGACGAGACCCCAGAAGCTTTAGGAACATGATACTGGGGGTGTGGGATCAGTTGGTGGAACCTAGAAGCAAGAAGACAGGGCTCAGGGTCGATAACCGTGGGGATAGGAAGGAAGGAAGGGAGGGGGGCCGAGGAAGGAAGGAAGAGATACAAGACTGCACACCCCAGAAGAAACAGTGGCAGGACCCAGTGATATGGGGCTCAGCCAATCACAGGCCAGCCCAATCTCAAGCCTGCGATGGAGCACACCCCCACCCACCAGCAGTAAGAGCCTCACTCTCCGCACACACCAGCCGCGCTAAAGGCTTCACATAAAGTACCTCATCTCACCTCCACCGGAATCCAGAGATGTCACTGTGGGGAAACCAAGGCATACACGGGCCTCAACCTCCCTCCTGCCACCAGAGCTGTGCACCCACAGGAACGACCTCAGCCTCGATGGCTCCTGTGGCCACCTGGAGGAAGGAAGGAGGCTGTGGGGAGCCCGCAGGTCCAGTCCCACCTGCTGATGCTCCCTGGCGGCAGGAGGCCCTCAGCGCTCACCGACTTCCCCCTCAGGCTGCCTGTGAGACCTTCTGTGTGGGAGAGGACGCCAAGGCTGCCGCCAGAGACATATTCAGTCCCAAACGCAGCTGGAAACGCCAGCGGTACCGGCTGAGTTCCCAGGCCCAGGGCCTGCAGCTGCTGCCAGGTGTGGCCCTGACCTCACACACATCCAGCTGGCTGCAGGGGAGCAGGGCTCACTTACTCAGGGGCCAGGCCTTCCTCCCTGGCTCAGCCTCTCTCCTTTGCCCCCTGCCCGCCCCAGGCCTGACCCACGTGCACAGGCGGAAGATGTTCCAGGCAATAATCCTCTCGGTGGAAAACCTGCAGAGCAGCAAATCCACGTGAGGAAGGCAGCTCACCCGTGTCTCCAACTGTCCCTGTCTCCCAACTTGCCCTTCACGGTCCCCGGACCCCAGGACCTGCCCTCCCACATCTTCCCACCCCCTCTCTCTGATCCCCTGTAACGCCCCTCTCCCTCTCAGCCGGGCCACGATCTTGGTGCGCCTGGACACTGGAGACCAGGAGGGGCTACAGTACCAGCCTGGGGACCACATAGGCATCTGTCCCCCTAATCGGCCAGGCCTGGTGGACGCACTACTGAGCCGTGTGGAGGACCCGCCACCGGCTGCTGAGCCTGTGGCAGTAGAGCAGCTGGAGAAAGGCAACCCTGGTGAGGACACAGGCTGGGCACCGCAGTGACAGCCCGCTCTGTCCCCCAACCCCAGACCCCTTAAGCTCAGCCTGACACCAACTTCCTTCCCAGCTTGGCACCAGCTCAGAGATAGCTGTGCCATCCCTGCCAGGCTGGCCATGTTGCTGGAAGGTGCACACAAAACATGGTCCCTTTCTCAGAACCTGTCCCCATGTACCCCAAAAGGCTGTTCCCTCCCTCTGGGCTCCTCCCACAGACCCCCCCCCCAGCAGACCAGCTTGCCCTAGCAGGCATATCTCCTATCAAATCAAGGCCCAGATGAAAATACACTGGGTGGGGCCATACCCAAGGGGAGTCCAGACCAACTCCGTCCATCCAGGGACCCCCGAACAAACACACCTGGGCTGCCCAGACAGGCACACACCACCATTCAAGGGCAAGTTCTCCAAAAATCATGGTGAGACCCAGTCAGTCCCCCAAAATCAACTTCAGTTCAGACAATGCAGTCCGGGCTGGGCCCCTCCTCAGGGTTCCCTGTGCACCCCCCCCAGGTGGCCCTCCCCCGGGCTGGGTCCAAGACCCCCGGCTGCCTCCATGCACACTGCGCCAGGCCCTCACCTTCTTCCTGGACATCACCTCTCCGCCCAGCCCACGCCTCCTGCAACTGCTCAGCACCCTGGCTGAAGAGTCCAGCGAACAGCAGGAGCTAGAGGCCCTCAGCCAGGTAGAGCCCTGGGTAGGACACAGGACCTAGGGCAGAAGATGAGCTGAGGGTGGGGGACCATGGAAGGGAGCCCCCATGCAAGGTTCTCCCTGTGCTTTCTACTCCTGGCCAAACCATGCTGGTGCTGCAAGGCCCAGCGCTAGGCGTGCACCGCCTCGCCCAGATCTTTTCACTTCTTTTAGATGCTCAAGGTCTTAAAGGGGCGTTGGTTGGCCTCAACTGAAGAGGGAGAAACCATAAGCAGGCTCAGTAGGGTGGGCTCAAGAAGTGAGGTCACCAGGGAGGACTATGGGGTCCCCTGCCCAATGCCTCCCTCCTGCCAGGACCCCAGGCGCTACGAAGAGTGGAAGTGGTTCCGCTGCCCCACCCTGCTGGAAGTACTGGAGCAGTTCCCATCCGTGGCTCTGCCTGCACCCCTGCTCCTCACCCAGCTGCCCCTGCTCCAGCCTCGGTACTACTCTGTCAGCTCTGCACCCAGTGCCCACCCAGGAGAGATCCACCTCACCGTGGCCGTGCTGGCATATAGGACCCAGGGTGAGGCTGGGAACAGGGCAGCCTGGGTCTCAGCAGGACGAGACAGGCCCCTCATGGCCTCTCTCTCCTCCCCTAGATGGGCTGGGCCCCCTGCACTATGGGGTCTGCTCCACGTGGCTGAGCCAACTCAAGGCTGGGGACCAGGTGCCCTGCTTCATCAGGGGGTAAGTGCAGAAGGACATCAAGAGAACATATCTGTCTGTCCAAGCCAGAGTAGAAAAAGGGCCACATGGACAGCTGGGGACAGGTAAGGAATCAGAGGAGGGTCACGCTGGGTTAGGTGGTAGCTCTGATGAGGAGGGCTATTGGAAGCAGGAGAGAACTGCATAACAGATTAAGGATAGGATATCATGGGGTCACCTCAGAATTGTGGCTGAGCTTTGGGCCTCACCAGTTTGACTCAGGGTCCTCCCCGAAAACTATAACTCCCAGAGACACAGCAGGAATTAGGTCAGCTGGCTTTGTTTGTGAAGGTGTGGCTTCTGCTTGCCTCTCTATATCCCTGGGCACATCCTGTGTCAGAAGGCATGGCACATGGGACCGTGGGCCCTAAGACCGCACTGGGTCCAGGGAGGACAAGCCATGGTATTGCTGAGGAGATAAAGACTCTCCCCTCCTGCTGTGTCCAGAAGTCTCACCCCCTCCAGCAGCCAGGTACCAAGTCTTAGTGGGACTGATAAGAATTCCTAGGCTGGTACCAGCTAGGCCCAGGGACCCAAACCTACCAGAAACACTAAATTACCAACAATTCAGTATAAACCAAGTACCAATCTTATGGCTATTATTCTTTTTATTTAAAATAAAACACACTAAAAAAAATAAAATAAAATAAAACACACTAGGGCCAGGGACTTAGCTCAGTGGTTCTTCTGTCTGCCTCATAAGCGCAAGGTCCCAAGTTTGATCCTCGGAACCCAAAACAAAAACAATAAAATAAACACACTTGGTGTGCCCTTATGAACAAAAATGTATCTTCCCTTCCTTTTTTTTTTTTTTTTTGTACCTGGGATTGAACTCAGGACCTTGCACTTTCCAGGCAGGCACAGTCCCACTGAGATAAATCCCTGCCCCCTTATATTTTTTAAATCCCCTAAACTTAGTTATCTAAGTATCTTTCATCCCAAACTGTATTTTCTGCTGGTCCAATCCCTAAACATCACAGGCCCAGAGAGTTTCTGGCTGTGAGCAGAATTCTTTTAGTAAACAATTACATAGTCTTACCATGACCCACACTGCTCTGAGGACTTATAAATATTAATGCATTTGTCATTGGACCTTGGGTGGTAAGAAAGGGGATACAGGGAAACCTGATGGAGTCTCTCCCGACTAGGGCTCCTTCCTTCCGGCTCCCACTTGACCCCAGCTTGCCCTGCATTCTGGTGGGCCCAGGCACCGGCATTGCCCCCTTCCGGGGATTCTGGCAGGAGAGGCTGCATGACATTGAGAGCAAAGGTGAGGCTGGCCCTCAGGGACTGACTTGAAAGGCAGGAGGGAGGGACAAAGGGGTGGGGCTAGAAGGCAGGAAGAGGGAGGACAGAGAGGGCAAGAAACTGGAGCCAAAGGTGAAGGGAAGCTTACTAGGCCAAGACAGAAGGCCTGGGAGAAGAGCTGGCCCAGTTCATCTGCTTCCTGGTGCCTGGCATATAGGTGTTAAACCAGATTAAGGACAAAAGCAAATGGGGGTTTGGAAGGGATGGAGCTGGGACTCAGAAGAAATCCCCAAGGAGGATTCTGGACTGTGCCAGGGTTCACCCAGGTGTGACCAAGGCTTAAAGAAGGGATAGGGTGTTTAGACTGAACATGAGGTGTCACTCAAGGGGGCTGTGACTGAGAGGAAGACTGAGGATGTGGGCGAATCTGGGGCCACCCAAAAGCTGGGGTTTCCTTCTCTGTAAGTCAGAGATGCTACAGTGTCTATGCAGGAATCTAAACAGCCATGTTTGTGGTGTTTCAGCCCCAAAACGGCGGGCTGTCGGCCTGGGAAAGGGTGGCCGGTGTCGCCAGGGATACCCCGGGAAATAGGACCCTCCCAAGCCCCAGTGTTGTTCGCAGGGCTGCAGCCCACACCCATGACTTTGGTATTTGGCTGTCGATGTTCCCAACTTGACCATCTCTACCGCGACGAGGTGCAGGACGCCCAGCAGCGAGGGGTGTTCGACAGCGTTCTCACCGCCTTTTCCCGGGAACCCAACAGCCCTAAGGTGCGGAACCCTGAGCGCGACCTGAGGATAGCGAGGGAAGCTCGGAAGGGCGTTCCGAGGCGGGCGCGGGGACCCAGGTTCCGCCAGGTTCCCAGGACCCAGACCGGTCCCCGAGACCTTCGCCCCGAGCCCCGCCCCCAGATCCTGCTCCAGAAATGCAAACCCTAATTGGGCCACCCCAGGGTCCTTTCACACCCTGGGCCTTACCTCCCTGGGCCTCACCTCCCCTCAGACCTACGTGCAGGACATCCTGAGGACTGAGCTAGCTGCTGAAGTGCACCGCGTGCTGTGCCTCGAGCGGGGCCACATGTTTGTCTGTGGGGACGTCACCATGGCAACCAACGTCTTGCAGACAGTACAGCGAATCCTGGCGACCGAGGGCGACATGGAGCTAGACGAGGCTGGTGACGTCATCGGCGTGCTGCGGGTGCGGAACTGTGCCCTGGGCCAGAGGGCTTGGGCGGGGACGAGGGCGGGGCCAGAGGGCTTGGGCGGGGCGGGGCGGGGCGGGGCCTGGGCCGGGTGGGAGGTCTTCTTCCTTCTCCAACTCGGTTTCTGATCCGCTGAGCTTTCCTGGCAGGATCAGCAACGCTATCACGAGGACATTTTTGGGCTCACACTGCGCACCCAGGAGGTGACAAGCCGCATACGCACCCAGAGCTTTTCCTTGCAGGAGCGGCACCTAAGGGGTGCAGTGCCCTGGGCATTCGACCTGCCAGGCTCAGACGCCCCCAGCCCCTGACAGCCCCCTGGCTTCCACTCCGTGTCTGGGAGAAGGGACTGCGGCACTCCTGTCGTCTGACCATGGGAGGCAGGCTCATTCCTCTATGAATAAATGAAACGCTTCCAGGGGTCCATGTAACTCTCGGACCCTCCCAGCAGTATGTTCAGGGCCTGCCGCCTCTTGGTGTACTTCAGTGACCTGTAGTCCTCTTGCCCCTCACCAGGAGTAGCTTACCTTTAAAGCCTATCTCCAAACCATTCAAATAAATATTTATTATTGAAGATTTACCACAAGAGACTGCCAGATGTTATGAGATGCCTCACCCAGCCCCCGTGGATTACAATTACAAAAGGCAAGTTTTGGGCCGGGGATTTAGCTCAGTGGTTCTGGCGCCTGCCTCGAAAGCGCAAGGTTCTGAGTTTGATCCCCAGTACCAAAAAAAAAAAAAAAAAGGCAAGTTTTGTGTTTTAACTTGTACAGATGTAGGCATGGTAATTCTTGAACATCATGCCCTACACACTGCACATGTCCCAGCGTTGTAAAAACAGTCTCCAGCCAACCACAGACAGTTCTCTTGTGTTGTTCCCTCGGGCTTTATTGAAAAGGCAGGTGGTATCCTTCAACTCCTGGGGGGGGGGGGGGCAGAGGCTCCAGCACAAAGACAGGAGCCATTTTGACTGCTTCTTTCACACAAGATGAGGAGCCACGCCCACTTCCTCAGATAACACAGCAGTGATAAGGTCCAAAACATTAGCCGTCTCTAATTTTTCCATTTACAAGGAAGGCCTCATCCCTCAAGTCCCCTGGGAACATGAGGTCAGCAGAATGGAGCCTTTGACTCTCAGACCACGTGCTTTCCTACTTACCTAACACTTAGCTTGGCCTCCTGCTGGGCCCTGTCCTCCACTTTGAGGATACTCAGGGACTTCCCAGGCAACTTCTAGATAGCCAGTGGGCAGGCGGCCCCTCCTTAACCTCTAGTGTGAGGACCATCTCTAAGATGTGTCTGCCGGTGCTACAGACATTGCCTCCCTCTCTCTGTTCTCCAAGGTGAGTTCCTCAATGAACCCCAGGTCCTGTCCAGTGAAAGCATTCTGGGCTTGTCATCTTTGGGAGGCCTGTAAAGATGGCTTCTTGTGTCCTTGTACACCACCCTGTCCAATCTCCTGCGGCTGGAGAAGCCAGGAACCTGAGGGAGAGGAAGGCACTTGGAAAGCAGCCCAGGGCCGGGGATTTAGGTCAGGGCCGGGGATTCACCACCTGCCTCAAAAGCACAAGGTCCCAAGTTTGATCCCCGGTACCCCCCCCCAAAAAACTTGCACTCTTCAGCTCCCGGTCCCTCCTGCCTGGGTGCAGGGTCTCTGTCGGGTGGTCTCCCAGTGCAGAGCAGTCCAGATTGGTGGGATGCAGTGTCCTCTGAGCCTGGATCCTCTCTACTGGGCTGGGGATCAGCCTCTCCATACCCTCTCCCCCTCACCGCACCCTCACCCCCGGGTTGGCTTTAATGCTGATGAGGCTCACAATATCATCAAAGAGTGTGTGGATGGGGTCTTAGGAGGTGAGGACTACAATCGGAACAACAACAACCAGTAGACTGCAAGCATAGTGTAAAGCAGCCCAAGGCTCAGGCTCTACATAGGACCACCCTCAGGACCCGAACCCACCAGCATTCCTATCCCTTCAAGACAGGCTCCAAACCAACTTCCTCCTCACACCTTCCCTTCTCCAAAGTGGGCTGTACTGACCTGAAGTGTTGTCTCAATCGGTGCCAGAGACCTGTCTGGGCTGCCTCTTGGTGTCTATGGTCTCCTGAAACCCTTCAGGGAACAGATTCTGGGCCCTCGGTTTTCCCCACTGCTGTCTGGGGCTGGAGGCAGGGCTGGAGCCTGGTGACAAAAACCATCAGTTGGGCAGTGCCATGATGCCTCACATTTTCCAGGATCAGCCCCCTCTACCTCTCCCTCCTCACCATCACTTGACCAGGATGGCTTTTCCTCATCAGGCGAGGCTGGCTGTGAGGGGCTGGACCAGGCCCTGGATGGGGAGGAGCCCGAGGTTTCTTCCCACAGCTCCTGCTGCTGCTGTTGATGGAGCTATGCAGAGGAAGAGAAAAGAGAGGCTCCTTTCTGCCCTGCCCTGGGCTAGGCACCAAAGGCTTCCTCCTCCACTTCTTTCCAGCAACCTTCTGCTCACCTGGTGCAGGTAAATGGCATGGAGACTCATCTCAGCAGAGGCCAGCTCTGGGAGCTGGGCTAGCTTCTGGCCCCCGGTGCCTCCTGGGGACACACAACTGGAACACAAGGCACGGCAAGTCAAGCAAGTCAAGCTAGACAAGACATCCCACCCCAGGGGGAGGGCCAGGCTTCACCTCCCCTTCCAAATATCCTCAACACCCCAATTTCCTCCTTCTGGAGGATTAGCCTCACCTCAGACTCCCCTGCATCCTAGGCCTGTACCCCTCACCTGGGGTCCTGGGTAATTCGGGAAATTGAAGCAAGAACACTGGCTGTGGCAGCAGCCGGGCAAGTGGCTGTGGGGCTCATGTCCCTCGGGGGCAAGATGGGGTTCACCAAGAGGTTAGCCAGGAAGGCATCTGGCTGCTAAAGAGAAGAGGAAAACCAAGTTCAGAAGGAAGGGAGGGAAAAGAGATCTAAAGGAGGCAGGAAACTGGGCATGGTGGCATGTGCCTGTAGTCCCAGCACTTGGGAGGCTGAGGCCGAAGGATTGACACAAGTTAGAGGCCAGCCTGGGCAACACAGTGAGTTCAAGGCCGGCCTGAACTACATAGCAAAAACAAACAAAAATAAAGGTAGTGGTGAGAATGGCAGAAAAATAGGCCAGGCCTGGGACTCACCAGAGGCGAGGTGCAATCACTGAGCACCCCTGGGGTTGGGGGGCTGCGAGCTGAGGTGGCACCCCAGGCAGCTGCATCTTGTTGTACCCGGCCCCGAAGGTGGCCAAGGAACTTAGAACTGTCCCCTGGGGGGCGCCATTGCGGATGTGCCAGCGAAAACCTCATCAAGGAGAGCTCAGTCTTTCCATTCTCAGCCCGCTGGGCCACAGAGGCCTCTGTCTGTCCCTCTGAGAGCCACTGCAAACAAAGACAGGCACTGTGGTCCCTGAGCCTCTCAGGGGTAGGCAGGATGGGACACACTCGTTCTACACTCAGGATAGCTCAGAACACCTGGGTCCAGACCCAGCCTTCTCTGCTTTGTCCCTTGGTGCAGACCCAGTCCCCTTTCTCCAGCCCTCTGGTGGCCTCTGCTCCCACAACGGCCAGCAACTCTACAAAGGGTTCTAAAGATGTCCTATCAGCCTCACGACAAGGCTGCATGCTGGTTCTTGTCATTGTCCCCACATGAAAGAGTGCAGTGACTTGCTCAGGGTCACAGGTGGCAACCAGCAGAGCCGGGCTTGGAACCCAGTCTGCCCTGGGGAAGGGGTGGGCAAGAGGGCTCTAACCTGAGGGTGGCCATGGCGTTTCACATCCATGAGGGCGAAGGAGCAGATGTCCCCAACACCAGCCACATCCACAGTGAAGTGATGAAAAAAGTCAATAAACTCCAGGGCTCGAGGCCAGAACCAGAAGAGCAGAAACAGCGGAGTGAGGAGTGGGGACAGGAGCTCTTCCAGGAGGGAGGCCTGGGGATGCAGGGGTGGGGCTGAGCAGGGGTCCCCAGGGGCATACACAGGAGATGGGGACCAAGGAGCCCCCAGGGACTCTGTCCAGGACAGGAAGGCTCCAACCCAGTCACCCCATAGGCTCCAGGGACCACCAGTGTTCAGCCTCCTCGGTGCCCTCCTTTGACCCTTACCGCTCGGTACTGCAGCAGCTGGGACATCTGCCGATAGTCAGTGTCTCTGCCACCGGCGCCAGGCTCCTCGGGGAGGTAGTGCATGTGGGCCAGGGCCATCTGCAGCAGGAGCTTCGGGGGGCGCCCCTGACCCTGCTCCTCCGGGAGGAAACACCTGGAAGGCGGGGCAGGGGTTAGAGGGCTGGAGGGTGAGCCACCCCCAACCCCAAGCATGTGCCTCGCACCTGGCCACGGTGACTGCGAGCCCAAGCGCGGTCATGGTGGTGAACACATGCTCTACGGTGAGCACATCCTCGTCGTAGATGGTGAGCAGCAGCAATGCAGCGAAGAGGGCACCTGCAAAGAAGAGGAGCTGGCGGGCCAGCAGCGCGCGAAGGGGTGCGGGGGGCTCGGCGGCACGCAGGAAGGCGATGGAGGGGCGGTAGGCGCGGGCCAGACGCGCACGCAGCTCGTGTGGCAACTCATTGAAGTGACGCAGCTGCAGGCGAGCCAGGCGGGACCAGCGCCTTGCCCCGAAGGCGCCGGGCTCTCGCCTCAACAGCTCGGCATGGCTATAGAAGGCGTGCAACACCTGCCAGGCCAGCACCACCGGGCTCAGCGCCATGTTCACAGCGGCCAGCAGCAGAACCGTGCGCCCCCAGCGCGCCGCCAGGGCGCCTCGATGGTCGCCGCGCTTGTAGGCGTCAGGCAGCTCCCAGCCCCCGCGGAAGAGCGAGAAGGGCCCACGGAAGAGCAGCAGATCGACGTTGAGCGCCAGGCCGCGGCTGAGGAAGGCGGCGCTGCCTCCCCATGGCAGCAGGCAGCGGGCCGGCAGCAGGCCCTTGTTGGCCAGTGCCACCTGGTAGTTGGTGTAGCGCAGGATGCGGTGGTGCACGTCCAGTTCGGTCAGCGGCCGCGGCTGCACGCACAGACCCCCGCTCCGCTGAAGCTCCAGGAGGCGTGACTGGACCTCTGCCCAGGGCACGGAGCTGAGCTCCTCCTACCAGAGGAGAGGGGAATGATGAGCACCGGCGGCCCTGGTTCCCAGTGTGCGCCGACACCCTGCTCAACTCAACAAGACCAACGCTAGGTCCAGTGCTGCCAGCCATTTTTGGCTTTCTCTCTTTCCCTACACTGCCGCTAACTGTGGCACTTGTGACGTCCTCTTTTCTGAATTGTTCTGCACCTGCCATCCTTGCCTCTCATGTGGCCATTAGTCATGTGCTTCTTAGTGACACTTCTTTAGCAGACTTTGGGTAACTGACCTGGCTTCTCAGCTCCTTAAGAGTTGGTGGCTCCTGGGGGAACCTCTCCTTCCCATTTCCTCGGGACTCCAGTCCTCACCACCTGCTGCTCTGGTGAGCTTTGAGATCCCCATGCCACCCCACTTCTGGTCACTTGCACTCTGTCATCACATTAGCCTTCCCAGGACCCCGGCTGTGTCCGTGTCTGCGGTGAGGACACTGCCAGAACTCCCTAGAGAGCTCCAGACCCCATCTTAGCCCCAGGCAGCCTCTCCAGCTAGTGCCAATGTCTCCCCTTCCTCTGAAGGAACAAGAGAGAACAGAAGGAAAGAGGAAGAGAGGGGTCAGCAGGCCCCTGGAGGAGCAGCGGTCATGGTCCCACTATCCATCTGCTCTGCCAGCCTCCTATCTCCTCCCTGCTCTGTGCCTGGTGTCCCCCTACTCCTGTGCCTTCTAGAACCCTCCCCTCATGCCAGGGGAGGACTGTGCCAAAGGCCCTATACTTTCTAGGATGAGCAAGGGACTTGTGCTACTTAGGTCTGGAACATGCAGCAGCAGCAAGATAGAGAAGAAAGGAAGAGCAGGCAGATAGCATGACTAGGGGCCAGAGACAAAACCAACAAGGCCCCTACAGGCTCAGTTTCAGGCTGACAGAGTCCTGCACATGCCCATTGCTTTCCCCACATCTTGCCCTGGAGCTTGGAACGCCCTTCCTGACCCCATCCTAACCTTATAAGACCAGCTCATACTCCTACTACTCTAGAAAGCCAGCTGGCAGCTCTTCCCCTCAACACTCATTGTTTTCACGACAAACATGTGACTCTAAGTCATCTTCCATGACCCATCTAAATAAAGGAAGCTGCACAGGGCAAGGGCTCTGCTCCGAAGGTGGCAGTACCCACCTCCCACGCCCAGTATGATGAGGCTGCTCTCTCTCTCTCTCTCTTTTTTTTTTTCCCTTCAGTATGGGGATCAAACTCAGGACCTTGTGCTTGCCAGGCAGGTGCAGCGCCATTGAGCTAAATCCCCAGCCCTCGCTCTTTCTGTCCTCTGCCCACCCACTCACAGCAGACAGCGCCTGAGCAGCTCACCGGAGTGATGTGCAGGGCCTCCCTGTAAAACACCTGGATGTCCCAGTAGCTGAAGAGGTTGCGGAGGGAGCGAAGCAGCTGGAACAGCCAGTAGCAGGCAGCCAGGATGAGGAGGAAGACCAGCAGGGGACTGGCACGGATCCTGTGTGGGGACACAAGTGTGTGGGCAGTGAGAAACTTAGAGAAGGAGACCAATACCAGGAGCAGGTGACAGGTCTCAGAGTGGGGTCCAGAGAGGAGTCCCCAAAGAGGCACTCGCAAGTGTCTGCAAAGCCGTCACTTGTTGCAAACAACACTAGTGCTTCCTGCTGTTTGTACTCTCATTCTCCTGCAAGTGTGCAGTGTTTTCCAGACCCTATGGGACGTGCTAAGATGTCACATCACACTGACAGCGCAAGGAATGTGCATTGGTACAAGGCTAGGCTTTAAAGTGTCCTCAGGACCAGGGGTAAAACTTAATAGTGAAGCACTTCTCGGGCATGCTCCAAGCCCTGGGTTTGATCACCAGCATGGAAAAATAAACAAATAATTAGAGACATCCTCAGCTTTAATTTCTTTTTTCTTTTCTTTTGTTTTTGTACCAAGAATCAAACTCAGGGACTCAAGCTTGCCAGGCAGACACTGCACTGCTGAGCTACATTTCTTTCTTTTCTTTTTTTTTGGGGGGGGGTACTGGGGATCAAACTCAGGACCTTGCATTTACAAGGCAGGCGAGGCACCACTGAGCTAAATCCCCAGCCCTCAGCTTTGATTTCTAATACAATAAGTATAGATCAGATATGACTCTCATAAACAAAGGCTCTTTGTAGTTCTCAATCAATTTGAAGTGTATTCAGAAATACACTTATGCCAGGCATGGTAGCGCATGCTTGTAATCCCAGCACTCAGGAGGCTGAGGCAGGAGGATCACTACAAGTTCGAGGCCAGCCTGAACTATATAGCAAGACCCTGTTTTAAGAAAAAAATACATTTAGGGCCGGGGATTTAGCTCAGTGGTTCTGGCACCTGCCTCCCAAGCGCAAGGTCCTGAGTTCGATCCCCAGTACCAAAAAAAAAAAAAAAAAATACATTTAGGCCAGGTGTAGTGGTACACACCTGTAATCACAGCAATCCCAGGAGGGAGTTCCAGGCCAGCCTACATACATAGTGAGTTCCAGGCCAGCCTGGACTACATAGCAAGACCTTGTCTCATAAAAACAAACAAAAACATGAGTTCGATCCCTGGTACCAAATAAAACCAAGCAACCCAAACACATTTAAAGCCAATCTCAGTTCTCCAGAAGGCTAACAGTTCCAGCCTCACCTGGGCAACTTAGTGACATTTTGCGGGGGGTGGGGGGGTGGGCGGTACCAGGAATCAAACTCAGGGCCTTGCGCTTGCCAGGCAGTTGCTGCGCCACCGAGCTATATCCCTGGCCCTTAGTGACTTATACCCTGTCTGTCTCAAAAAAATGTTAAAAGGTCTGGGGATGCAGCTCAGTGTGAAGGTCCTGGGTTTAATGGCCACCACCACACATATATACACACATACACATAATTTTTTAAAATATACTTTAAGCCAGGTGTTATGGCTCATAGCTGTAATTCCTGCACTTGGAAGGCTAAAGCAGGAAGATCACCATGAGTTCAAGGCCAGTCTGAACTATGAGACCTTGTCTCAAACAAACAAAAACAACAACAACACATTACATTTGAAGTCCTGAAGCCAAACACTGTGAGAACTGCTGATCTAGACTAAAGAGCAAGGAGAGTGCTGCTTTCTGCTCTTCTAACCCTAAGGTGGGCTTCATGGGGTGGGGACCCCTCTGGGCTATCACTCACCTCTCTGCACACTGCGAAGAGGGTAGGATGGCATCTGACAAGGCCACTTTGTGTTGGACTGGCCAGGGTCTTGTATGGTTGTTTGGTTGATTGGCAAATAGAACATCATAGTCCACGCAGCAAAGGAGGAAGGTTGTAAAGGTGACGATGAAAAGGAACTGTCTGCAGGAGGGGGGTATGGGGACAAGGCAGTGATCAGGCCTGAGGGTCCCCCACCCCTCGTGCCCTTCGGAGCCCCAGGTAGGCACAAGCTAGACAGACTAGAAGCAGTAGTGGTTGTTAAGGAAGGAAAACTTGGGGGTGGGGGCTGAGCCCAGAGGTCTGAGCTCAGCACCGGGACAGTGTCTCACCCCAGCTGAAAGATGTCCTCCAGAAGGATACAGGTGAAGCCGTTCCGCTGGTGGTAGCTGTAGATGTGGCTTGAGTCAAGAAAGAAACCCAAGGCACGGTACCTGTGCTGGGGACACTGCCTTTCACTCCCCGACAAGCTCACTGCACCCTCAGAGTCTCCCTGCCAAGAACATGCCAGATCCATGCCCCCTCCAGCAGCCAAGCACAAAGGATATATTGGTGAAGAACGTGTCCAGGTTCTGGATGTGATGCCAGGAGCCTGGGGGCAGAGGACCGCGTCAAGAAATTGAGACCCTGGCACTGAGTCCCAGCCTGACCAAGCTTGTCCCAAGCCCCCAGCCCCTTCCCCATCCTCACCCCGAAGCCCTTCGGGCACGTGAAGTAGGGGCTGCTGGTCCTCCCCATGGAGGGGTGAGTCTTGGGACCCCTTGGGGTCACAGTCCTCCAGCCTCTCGTAATCCTGCTCTGAGGCCAGACGGCCCATCCGAAGCCCACCAGGGTCCTGGGTGCAGCGGTGTGAGGGGGAGGGGGTGGACGAGGCCAGGGAGGGGATGGACTGAGGTCCCCAGGAGGGGGAAGCAGAGCTGGGCATTGAGATAGGCTGTGCCCATTTGGGGGGGGTGGCTGGGATGGACAGGGTAGTGTGGCAGGTCTGAGAAGCCCCTGTCCCCTTCAGCCCCGGGCACAGGGGGCCAGGGGTCACAGGGAACAGTGAAGAGGGGGAGCTTCTTGTGCGGGGAGCAGAGGGCAGAGAGAAGACAGAGATCCTCCCTCCCCCAGGTCCCCGACCTGGAGGAGCAGGCGGTGGCGGCAGCATGGGGACCAGGGGCATGGAGCCAGACCCCAGGTCTCCCGAGCACCCCCACCGCCCCCGGCTCCCCCCCCAGGCCATTCCTCTCACCATCTGGCTGCGGCTTCTCCGCAGAAGTTAGAAAGATTGGGGCTGCTCCTGCTCACACAGAGGTCTGTGGAGTTGAGTGGCAACTTCAGCAAGGACAATGACAACACTACCAGGTGACTCAGGCTGGGCAGGCCTCAGGCGTCCCAGCTTTGGGACACCTGTATGATCACCCACACCCCGGGCAGGGCTTCCTGGGGCCAACCCTCTCTTGGGCTTAGCCTCCATCCCTGGGAGGGGTGCCAGCTGGGAAGGAGGGGCCGAAGGGTTCACTGGGACATCTTCAGACCTTGAGGAGACTACAGATACAGAGAGCAGCAGCCAAAATAAACCAACAAAATCCCATTAAAGGATGATAGGATCCTGGGGCCAAGGTGTCAAATCTGCTAGGCAAGTGTACAGCACCAGCCCAGAATTTTGTTTTGTTTGGTTTGGTTTTTGAGACAGCATCTCACTATATAGTTCAGGATGGCCTTCCAAAGCCATCATTGTGAGTTCACTGACAATGATCCTCCTGTCTCAGCCTCCCAAGTACTGGGATTACAGGTATATGCCACCACACTCAGTTCTAAATGTTTTATTTCTTAAACTGGGCATGGTGGCACATGCCTGTAATCCCAGCATTTGGGAGGCTGGGGCAAGAAGATTGCCTCAAGTTCAAGGCCAGCCTGGGCTACATACCAAGACCTTGTCTCAAAAAAGAAAATAAAATGAAAAAAAAATTTTTAAATAAAATAGGCCAGGGATTTAGCTCAGTGGTTCCACGCCTGCCTCCCAAGCACAAGGTCCTGAGTTTGATCCCTGGTACCAAAAAATATTTTTTTAATTGAAAAAATAAAATACAATACAAAAAGGGCTGAGGATGTAGCTCAGCGCAAAGGACCTGGGTCCAATCCCCAGTAACACAAAAGGAAATGAATAGAAAAGAAAGGAAAGAAAAAAGAAAAGGCTGAGTTGAGTGTGGTGGCACACAACTATAATCCCAGCTCCTTGGAAGGCTGAGGCTGGGGATCACAAGTTCAAGGGCAGTCTGGGGAATTTAGTGAGACCCTATCTCAAAACAAAAAATAAAAAAGGAAGGTTGGGGATGTAGATCAGTGGAAGAGCACCCTTGGGTTCAATCATCAGTATAGCACAGAAAGGGAGGAAAGGCTTAGAGAGAAAGAGAGTTGAATATTTTATTCATCTGAGGTTGCTAAGGAAGGGAAGAGGGGAGATTGTCTGACTTTGCAGCCAGATGGGGGAGCCCAAGCAAAAGAGTGAAGGAAGAAAAGGCAGCTATCTTGGAAATAAGAAGCAGTTTGGGGAGTTTAAAGTAGGAAAGTAGGGTTCCTTGGAGTTCCATTATGTTTCTGTCCTTACCTTCCTAATCCTTGACGCCTTCTCTTTTAAGTCCTAATCCAGTTTCTTCCAGCCCCGGAGAATCATCTGGTCTGGACCAGCAGAGCAGACAACAGGGGTCCAAGATGTGGAAGGATAATTTGGGTACTGGGGACAAGCTGCCCAAGTTTAAGTTTCCTGTTGTCACCTCAACAAGGAGGAGGAGACCCAGGCAGCTGGTCTGGTGGCTTGCCCAACGCCATTCTTGAGGCCCTGAATCACAGGTTTCCTGCTGAAGACCATGCCTGAGATAATGACTCAGCCAGCAGGTGCCAGGGCCTCCAGGTTTAGGCCAAAGGGATGATGTAGGGCCCAGCACCTGTGAAACTCAGAGGAACACAGTGTGTCCTAAATTGTTGACTGGAGGAATGTGGCAGCAATCACGGAATCGTCCATAAATTGAGTCCAAATGAGCTTGCTTTTCTCCTGATGTGTCTCTTTTCTGGGAGAATTGTCCCAGTAGCTCAAGACTTGCAAACCTTTATGACTGAGCAGGAGGAGGCAGAGCTATGAAAATGAGACCCAGCCTGTCTATAGGTGGCAAAATGGAATCCCAAATTGTAGGGAGACCAAGGAAATGCCCATGATCTTTCTGAGACATCTGTCACGATGGCTTATGGGTGGTTTTGTCTAGTCTTTCCATCACCTGACTCACCTGATGTCACTCACTCAATACCATGAATATTCTATCATAAATATACTAGGGCCCCTCCCTGTGCACCCTGAGTTCCTCAGGCCAATCTCAACTGATCCTAAATTCTTCCACTGACAGCCTCCCTACCACCACCATCAATTCAATTTATTACAAAGGGCACTTTTTCCTGCCAGACATTTGGGGAGGGGGACAGAATGAATGAGGCAAAACCATTACCCACCAAGAAGTGACAGCCCAGTTAGTGAGGCACATATGCAAACAAATAATTTTTTATTATACAAATATAATAAATAAAAGCTAAACAAGAGTCCAAGCGCTGTTTAAAATTTGAAGGGACCCTTAGGCAGATCATTCAGGCCACTGTGGTGAAGGTACATGTTGGAGAGATGAATCTAAGATCTAAGATCGTGTCTTGATAAACGCCAGTTCTTTAATAACTGAGTAGGGTTTATTAAATGCTATAGTAAATAATAACATTTATTGGTGGTGTTCCCATGATGGTGGTGATCACCTGTAAACCTACCCAACCGGAAGCCTGAGATAGGAGGATCACGTTCCATGCCAACCTAGGTAATTTAGGGAGACCCTGTCTCAAAATTTAAAAATAAAAAAAAGATAAATAAAAAGGGCTGGGGATGTAACTCAGCTGGGGGGCGGGGCGGGTGAGTAGGGCATCAGCATCAGGATCACCTGGAGAGTTTTTTTCCCAAATGCAGTTATCATCCAGGAGTTATGACACGCCTAGAACAGGGTAGGTGGCAGGGCACTTGGATTTGTTTGGTTTTGTTTGTTTGTTTTGTTTAGTTTTTTCACTTGGATTTGTTTTTAACTCCCCAGAGGATGTTGCTCATTCGTCACTCGGAGCCAGCGCTTGACACTTCCTGGAAACCCCCGCACTTCTAGAGACTGTCGGGAGTATCTTCAGGAAAATGACCTGAGATCAGCGCTAAAGCGTTACTATGGACACTCGGAGGTGGGGGAAAAAGCTGTGCACACCCTCAAAGCGTCACTGAGACGTAAGTCACCTGGCCTAAGGAGGACCCCTTCCCTACCCAGCCCCGCCCAAAGCCAGCGATGGGCAGATAGGCGACGCTCTCCAATCATAGTTCCGGAAAGGGGAGGACGGTAAAAATCTTCAATCACAGCTTGCAAGGAGATTGATGTGTCTTTCCACCAATCATCCCCGAGGCGCGACGGGGTTGTCGGGATGCTGGGCGAAGCCAAAATGGAGCCATCTGTGAGATGAGGGTAAAGCTGTTGTTGCCGGCTGCGTCTGTCTTCCCGCCCCAGCATGCTGGTGCACTTTTTTCGGGCCGGGATTAGGGGCAACCCTGTTCCAGGCAGGTCGCTGTTTTCTCGCCGACTCCAGACATTCTCGGCCGTCAGGTAAAAAAAAGACAGTTCCCCGTAGCCCGGGCCATTGACCAGCGGGCAATGCGCGGGGCCCGCCGGGAGATGGAGTCCCGAGCTCGCGCGAAGCCTGCTGGGAGCTGTATGCTACCCGGACCAAGGGTGGAATGTCACTCCTTGGGCGTTGGCCTCAATTGTTTATAGCGACGGTCAAAGTGGCAGAAAGAGGCTCTGTGCGTCGCTTCTGCGTGTCGGATTGACCGGAGGCCTCAGGATCAATGGCCACGCCCAGCCCGCGCTCCCCACCAGGGGGCACCACTCCCGGCCTCCTCCGCTCTGTTGGAATTGATCAGGAGATTGGGACAAAAATTCTTCAGTAACAAGAGACATTTAGTATTCGTAGTGCTTCCGTGACTCAAAGTGAGCCCATCAAAAGTGGTTCTCGGGCCAGGGATTTAACTTAGTGGTTCCGCCGCCTGCCTCACAAGCGCGAGGTCCCGAGTTAGATCCCCGGTACGAAAAAAATAAAAAGTGGTTACTGAGCCAGATGTGGTGATGCACGCCTGTAAGCCCAGCTCTGGGAAGCTGAGGCAGGAGAATCCCAAGTTCGAGCCCATCCTGGGCAATTTAGGGACTTAGTAAACCCTGTCTTGAGGGTGCCTTGTTTTTTTTGTTCTGTTTTGTTTTTGGTTTTGGTACCGGGGATCGAACTTGGGAACTTGAGCTTGCGAGGCAGATGGCGGAACCACTGAGCTAAACCCTGGCCCTATCTTTTTTGGGGGGTACCAGGGATTGAACTCGGGTTCTTGAGCTTGCACAGCAGGCGGCGAAACCACTGAGGTAAATCCCCCGCCCTCCCTGGCCCTATCTTGAAGGAGTTTTGTTTGGTACGGGGGAATGAATCCAGGGTCTTTGCTCCTTAGCCTTTTTTTTTTGTATTTTTTAACAGGGCCTCTAAGTCGCCAAATTGCACCAGCCCAGATTTGCAGTCCTCCTGTCTCAGCCTCCCACAGTACTGGGATTACAGGTGTGCGCCACCACACCTGACAGAGAGTCCCTGAAAAAAGGAAAACAAAGAAATGAGTGGGATGTAGCTCAGTGGGAAGGACTTGAGTTCAATCCCCAACAACAACAACAAAAAGTAGTTCCTGGATCTAGAGATTTTCAGCTGGGAACAAGAATCAATTGTAATTCATTCTTGGCAAAACACTCTACTCTTGTTGGTCCAGAGAGAAGAAAAAATGAGAAACAAGGATTTGGAAACTACATCTTAAAGGTCGATGCTTTGTGAGATGGGACCGATTCCCTTCTAATCCTCCAGGGAATAACCTGAGGACAAAGCAGGACCGTGGCCAAGGGTGGGTGGCTACAGAGCTGTGTCCCTCAGAAAGCTGTCTAATTGATGGAGGGAAGGCAGGGCTGGGACAAGCTAGAGCCAGAAGTACTGGTGGTGGGAAGTAATCCATGAATTCTTGGCAATCATCAGGCCCTTCTTAGAGTCTTAGTTTGGAGATGAGAGAAGCTGGAAAGTGGCTTTGGTAAATTATTAAACGATTTGAAAACAGTCTTTAGGAAAGAATAAGAAAGGTGTTGACATTATTTGAACCAGAAGGAAACCCAAGGAAAGACATGACACCCAGGGGTATGTGCGTTCACTAGTCAGTGCTTTTCAGTGGATGAGGAGGTGAGTAGACAGTATCAGAATATATGTTTAAAAATCAGAGAAAGTATTATTTTGTGAAACCTTTCCATTTTGTTGTACTGGGTTGTATTGGGATGGTGCACAGGATTGCAGTGTAAAATATTGACTATGGTAATTCTAAACTTTTGCAAAGTACTATAGTAGTCAAGTTATACTATTCGGCATCTCTACTGAGGACTTGCTTGCATTCAACAAACAAGCATGTCCTCTCCATCTGTTATGTACCAGAGCTTTGCTGCATATTGGGACATAAATACAGCTTCCTGCCCTTCTGAGAAGATAGAGTCTAATTGGAAAAACAAAATAATTACACAGGAAAGGAGGAGAGTGAGATTCCCTATGGATAATGTAAGACAGAGATCAAACATGCTGTAAAACAAGACAAAAACCAGGCAGGTGGAATGGGGTAAAGGGGAGGCATCATACAGAGGTAGCAAGAAGCATAGGCCTCCCTGAAAGCAAGGGAGGATGAGATGAAGTCTGTAATTAGAAGGGCGTGGGAATACCAAGACTGTGGTGGTAAAGAAGAAACCTCACACTGTATGCTTTTTAAAAAAAGCCTTTCCCTGTCGCTAGTCTCTTGGATCTTTGTACATCCAACCATGCCCTCTTGGCTAGCTAACATCTGTTTCTAACCTGCTTCCTCTAGCCTGGCATCCTGCTCCAGCCCACTCCCTTCTGCTACGGCCTTTGAATTTAAATCTCATATCACACCACAGCCTAAAAACCAGGATAGCCAGGGATATAGCTCAAAAAAAAAAAATCTGGAAAACTAGGCTGGTCCTGAACAGTCCTCCTACTCACTCTGTGACATCCAGGTGCTTCTAGAACTAGGAATGACTAGGCCGGGGATTTAGCTCAGTGGTTCTGGTGCCTGCCTCTCAAGCGCAAGGTCCCAAGTTCGATCCCCGGTACCAAAAAGAAGAAATAGGAATGACTGCCCCTCGCCAAGCCTCATGTCTCCTCCTGTATTCTAGGCCTTGCTGGGCATGGTGGTATACACCTATAATACCAGCACTCAGGAGGCTGAAGCAGGAGGATCACAAGTTCAAGCCCAACCTTGGCAGTTTAATGAGGGAGACTCTGTCTCAAAATTTAAAATAAAAAAGGGCTGAGGATGTAGCTCAGTGCCAAGGCTCTAGGTTCAGTCCTCAGTACTGAAAAAAGAAAGAGGAAAAAAAAAAAAAAGCCAGGTGTCTTAGTCACTCCCCTCATTGCTGTGACAAAATACCCAATACCCACAATGTAAAGGAGGAGGGCCAGGGATTTAGCTCAGTGGTTTCGATGCCCGCTGCACAAGCGCAAGGACCCCAGTTCGATCCCTGGTACCAAAAAAAAAAAAAAGGGTAATAAAGGAGGAGAGGGGTTTTTTTGGTGGGGGGGGGGTGTTTTCAGGCTGGCCTTGAACTCACTGTGTAGCCCAGGCTGGCCTCAAACTTGCAGCAATCCTCCTGCCTCAGCCTCTCAAGTGCTGGGATTACAGGTGTGCACCACCATGCCTGGCTAGGAGAGTTGGATTTTTTTGCTTTTTTTTTTTTTTGGTACCGGGGATTGAACTCGGGACCTTGCACTTGAGAGGCAGGTGCCGGAACCACTGAGCTAAATCCCTGGCCTAGGAGAGTTTTATTTGGCTCATGTTTTCAGTTAATCGCTGGCTCCAAGGCAGGAAAGTTTGGTGGAAGGGCCTGGGTGGAGGAAAGTTGCTCCTGTCATGGTATCCACGAAGCAGAAGATTCAGGAAAATGTAACCTTCAGGTCACGCCCACACCCCTTCTTCTGACCAGACCCTACCTCCTAACAGCAAGTCAGCTATAAACCCCTGCAATCCAGTCACCTTCTAAAGGTCTCAC